TCTTTTCTTTTGTTCCTGTCTCCTTGATAATATAGTAATGTGTCAATCATTGTTTACGCTATCGGCTGATAACTAGGCCTTTAATAGTACATATACTATCAATAATTACCACACTGAAATCAGAGAGATTTAAAAGATTTTGAATTCTCTCCAATCTACAATATTGTAAACATTAAATCTTTAAAAGGAATATCAGACCAAAAATGGTACTATTCTCTTCAGTATTGCAACATTTGGCATACACTGCATGCCATATAAAAATGAAAAATGAAATGAAATGGGCTAATGAAGACGGGCATACGCCATACAGTGTGCTATGAGGGAAATTATGCCCGGGCAGCGGCACTATCGCCTACTCTTATGTCGAATTCCAACTGCCAAGGGATCTTTTACGTGCATTCCAATGTATACACGGGACCTAGGTTTTTCGTCTCATCCGAAGGACTAGACAGCTGTCCTTGTCAGGCCCTCCGTCCTGCATCACTGACAAGGGGAAACCACGGCGGAAAATCCAGATGAACTTTCTCGGCCAATGCAGGGATCGAACACCCAACCTCCAGGCTAGCGAGCCAGCGTCTTACCCACTTAGCCATGTGATCCCCCATACCATATAAAGAAACCAGTGCCACCTATACAGGTTGGGTAAAATTCTTGATGGACCTCTTTTCAATCAGACTGAATCCAAGCCAGAAACTATCTACTGCAGATATTTTGTTTATAATTTCTTAATTAACTGTTCGATAATCAGTTTGAGTATTGACGGTAATGTTTATCAATGTCTGTTTGCCCTGCATCACTATATATCAAGATGAATAATTTCAACGCCCTGGTATTATGTGATAACAAAGACTACGAAGGAAAGAAATTGAAAAAACTGAACGATATACAAGTTTATCAGCATTTGAAAACTATTACTGAGATACTTTTGAAACCAAACACTTCAAATAACTCATTTAAAGTTTATTCATTAATAAATAAACAGCTTCAAGCCATTTTTGTTTGGGAGTATATATCGGAAATCATATCTGTATTGGAAGATCTTTTTATTGGAAGGAAAGTATGTGTTATCGGTAAAACTGATATCACCCATATCGGCTCATCAGTAATAAATAATTCTGTTGTACATGAAAATTTAAGGACATTCCTCAGATATCTATATGGATATACACCATGATAGAAATGAAATGAAATGAAATGGGGTTTAACGTCCTACTGTTCTGCTCCTAAACTGGGCTAATGAAGACGGGCATATGCCATACGGGAAATTTTGCCCGATCAGCGGCACTATCGCCTACTCTTATATCGAATTCCAACTGTCAAGGGATCTTTTACGTGCATTCCAATGTATACACAGGACCTCGGTTTTTCGTCTCATCTGAAGTACTAGACAGCTGTCCTTGTCAGGCCCTCCGTTCTGCACCACTGACAAGGGGAAACCACGTCAGAAAAACACCATGATAGACAAAACATCATCTGATATCAACATTCGGCAGTATGAATCTTTAAGATAGTCTGCTTATAATGCACCGTATTGTGTCGACATAACTATTTAAAGCAATCTGAATAAATACAGATCTATATTTCGTTCCATTTTTTTATACTTTCGATGGCCTACACTACATGAAGATCTGACCAGTTGTAGTGGAAGGTCGTGTCAGGTGTCATACAAGCAGCTTTTGACCTTATGGCATAAGACATTGATTAATCAGTGTTAATGTTTCTAGTGGTTTACCCAAAGTTCTGTGCACTTTATGCCAAAAACTCGTCGTAACAGACCGTTTCATTGGTTAAATGTAAAAAACCTACATTTTGTATTCTTACTACTAGAATTATGCAAAATCCTAAGTTTTGAAGATAAAAACAGTAGAACTTACAAAAATTTGACATAATTTGTAAAATTTTAGTACTGTGACTTGATTGCAATGGGAGGGGGATAGTTTCCCGTCCGCCACCCACCCATTGTCCACTTGTAAAACCATCTGTGAATAATTGGTAGATGGTAATATTGTCTTTTTAAGTTTAAAGTACAGTAGACTACTTAGTACTTTGACTTGATTACCATCTGTACCGAAATATAATAAGCTATGTGGAAAATATTCGTTTCTGGTTAATGGTGCAATTCTCTGGAATGATCTTCCCCCAAAAAATGCAAGAAATACCTACATTTACAGAATTTAAATCTGCTTTAAAAACTTATCTATTTAAACATACATTATGCAAGAGCTAAATCTGATTATTGCAAGTCTTAAATTAGGCTTCAGATGTAAAAGCAATTATAAATTAGATCTTTATTTAAACAACAAGCCCAAAATCAACTCTGTAGACCCATGGATGGCTCGGCTACAGCTTGGATTTAAATAGGATTTCACTGATTGATTAAATCAAAAATGGCGCCCCATGCGGAGATTATTAACCGTTACGTTAGTTAGATCGAGGCTAAATGATAGAGTGTACGAAGCGAGGCCGCCGTTGAGCGATGCCGCATGTCAGTCAATTTGATTGAAAGTTCGATATATATGGCCTTGATATTATGTTCAGTTGTGGCTAAAATGAGAGTTTGGATGTCGGTATTATACGCTCTTTTGTCACTTGCGTTTACAGAAAAATTATGGAAATTGATAAACATCGCAGCTAACATCACCCCAGTTGAATTGCAGCCCCATTGGATCACTGTAGTGTTTCCTATTTGTCTGCTATGGGAGTCACGTAGTCACGTTACATTACAAGAGTACACACAGGCTAACAAGAAGTCGGCTATAATTATGCCTCATTGATTTGGTCCATTCCTTTCAAACTTACGCTTCTTATCTATATAATAAAAGTCTTATTTTTAATTTGTAGTAAAAATAAATGTGTTACGAATTGAACTGCAACCCCGTCTCATGCCATTGAAAACGTTACTTGATAATCAAGATTATGTATTTGGAGTTAACGCCTATCTATTTATAATGCTTTTGAAGCTGTAATGTTTTATGTGCATATTTTGTATTTAGTACTCATAGCACACTGTATGGCATACATCCGTCTTTATTAGGCAAGTCAGTGCAGGGCAGAAAAGTAGGGCGTTAATTGAAAGCCCAATTCATTTCATTTCCATCTCTGAATAATGTTTTGAAGATAACACTGTCTCTTTAACTTGAATGTATGTGTATTTTTAATATGATATACTTGATCTATAATTACAGTGTATATATAATATCTATATTCTATATCTACTACTAAATATACATACATTATTCATGTTTATAATTAATGAAGCTAGGTTAAAATAAGATATTCAGTGCAGTTTAATTCATATCAAAGACTTTATGCACCAACCATAACATTAAAAAAAAATCTTATCGGCAAACTTCAAGGGAAATCACACAGGGTGGTAAAAACTATAATATCAACACTTCCCCTGATTTTACTGAATAGGTGAATGACTTGAGGATAATAGTGCTTAAACAACATTCAATTATAGATCTTAATCTGATGAGGGGAAAATGAAAAGAATAATATTCAGAGTCAGTGATAGTCATTTAATGGGTCTTTAGCAGTGGGAGGAAACCAGAGGACCCAGAGAAAACCCACGAGGTTTGACAGGCGACCCTACTTCTTGCCACATACAAGCATGGAAATGAAAACCATGCCACTTGACTCAATGACAGACCGTATGATCCAACGCGCACGCATTAACCATTCGGCCGACCCCAAACCCAATTCCGGTCAGTATTTACAAAAGATAGGAAATGAAATGAAATGGGGTTTAACGTCCTACTGTTCTGCTCCTAACCTGGGCTAATGAAGATGGGCATACGCCATACAGTGTGTTATGAGGGAAATTTTGCCCGGGCAGCGGCGCTACGGCCTACTCTTATATCGAATTACAACTGCCAAGGGATCTTTTACGTGCACAAAAATGTGTACAAGGGACCTCGGTTTTTCGTGCCATCCGAACGACTAGACAGCTGTCCTTGTCAGACCCTTGAAACTCTTCCATTATTAGGCATCATCTACATAAACAAGCCAGCTGGCACCACTCTGAAGTGTTGGATAAAATCTTTACATGGGTCATTATTTAATCTGAGTAAATCCAGGAGATTATCTACTTTTTGTTATCTTAATTAAATGTTAAATACTTAATTAAGTATATTTATAGTGCAGATTAAGCCATGAAAAATTCAGTACAGATATTGTCCGGAATTTGAGAATAAGAATAGTTGTTTTTAAGAAATCTGATTAAAATACAGATCTATATTTCGTTTCGTTTTTTTTTATACTTTCGATGGCCTACACTACATGAAGATCTGACAAGTTATAGCGATAGGTCACGTCGGGGGTCAAAAGACCGACTTTTGACCTTATGACGTCAGACATATGATTAACCAATCAGCATTGATGTTACTAGTGGATTACCCACAGTTCCGTGCAAAACATGCCTAAAGCTTGCCCAGACCGTTTCATTGGCTTATCCCCGACACCATTCAGAACACAAGTTAAATAACAACTCTTCCAGATCCTAGTGTAGTAAAGACAAGACTATAAAAAACGAAATGAAATAGGATCTGTGTTTTAACCAGATTGTTTTTTAATAAAGCATCTTCAGTCTTCACAGTGTCAAATTGTGTTACATATTTTAGATACCAGCTATCTGACAGCAGACTATTATTGACATACTATTCTCACTACTAAAACCAATCACAACATTAAAAATCAATGCATCTGGGCAACTGTTGCTTTTTTTATGCCTTTAAATTCCGATTTGTTCCTAAATAAAGCCTAGGACAGACAAGCTTATTTTTTTGCTTGATCACACAGATTTTTTAAATCACTTGAAAAAATCGCCTGTGTGTCCGTTCATGGTGACAACCATTTTGGTCGGCAAACAATTCGCCCGTAGCATAATCTTTCCAGTGATTTTGTGCCTCAAATTATCTAATACAGTCAAGGTATTAGAAAATGTTGTAATACCTTTGACATTGTGAAGATGATGTGATGTAAGATAATACAGTACTTACATGATGTATATTCCTGTAGTTGATGGAACTCAGAAGGACTCAATTTCTGCCACTGCAAATAATAAAAAAAATTAATAAAATTAATTAAATCAAATAGCTGAAAAAGTAGGAAGACTTCAAAAAAGAATATTTGGAAAGGTTTCAAATACCAAGTTATACAAACCAAGCCTTTATGACCATAGTCTTAAGTTTATAAGTAAAACCAGTAAAGCGGAGGGGGATGGGCAAAACTCCCTTAAATTAAAAGAGTACCAGAGGTTGGACAGGTCAGTAGATCTGTGTAGCTGTTGGATCAAATGACAACACCGGCGAAGAGGGTAGACGTGAAAAGATGTTCCAAAAATCCATGCTAAACAGTAGTGAGAGAGAGAGAGCGAAATGGGGTTTAACATCCACTCGACACAAACCAGGTCATTTCGGGACTAACATATGGTTTAATTTTATTTCAATCATTCACTTGCGCGTAGGGGTCTTTAGCAGTGGGAGGAAACCGGAGGACCCGCAGAAAACCCATGAGGTTGGACAGGCGACCCTACTCCTTGTCACGTACAACCGGGGATTCGAAACCACGCCAGTCGACTCAATGACAGACTTTATGATACAGCGCGCGCACGCTAACCTAAACAGTAGTACTACAAATGACTTGATTAAGTGTCATATAACCACCTTGTATTTCAATTTCAATCTGTTTTATACTTAGGGTATTTTTGAAAGAAGTTGATACAGGCAAGGTAAAATTAGAGATTATTCCTCCAATCCAGCTCTGTTGTATACTGTACACTGATACTTCAATTATTAAGCAAGTCTATATTGAATATGATATTAATCACACTTTATTTAATTTTAAAGCAATAATTTCATATTTTCTAAGAAAGTCAAAACATGGTTATTTCTATGTCTTTTGCTCAATAGGTTGTCAACTCACTATGATACGATTATAGGTATTATTCTCCCTCTTAAAAATCCTTTGACCCCGGAAATAATAACACAGTTACCTCCCTTGTTTTTCTATTCCCCCCATGGAATAGATATCTTCAAACGTTTGAATTTAAAGTTGAAAATTATATTTTTGCCAATTTCTCAACTGGCAATAGTGAATTATAGGATTAATAGGATTATTCTTTAACAAGGTAGGACTGTTTAAAGATACCATCTATTTTAAGGCTTTATTTTAATAAATTTTAAAAATATAACTTAAAAATATGAAATTGCAGCTTTAAAGCAATGCCTTTTTCTATTGTATTAGCATCAAATCTTATGGATAAGTATATGGTTGATTGAGTTTGTTAATCCAGGAAAATTAATCACATTTTAATCTATTTTATGGATGAGTATATGTTCGATGAAGATCATAAAATTCAGAAAAATCAGCAGATGTATCTATGCTGGTTACAGACGGCATATGGATGTGTTAACATTTACAATCAATCAATTTCAAGGTGTTCGTTAATTAATACAAGAAGAAGAAAAAAGTGCCTTTGGGTGAATCTGGGATGGTTAGAATTGATATGAAGATATTTTTTTACAATACAAGACTGCAATATTTTGACCTCTATTTTTATCAAAATAATAAACATATAAAAAGGTCATGCATATTGTCCGAGGGCAAGAACATGTTTTGTTATTGATAAAGATCTACACTAGCGGAAATGTAATATAAAAAAATTAATGATAAGTAGCTACCTGATATCATATACAATAATATAAACACTTGATAGATTTAAAGGGGCTAAATCGCTAATATTTGGGACCTAAAATTGACACAAATGGGTCGCAACGCATATAATAATGTAATATGAATGTATTTAAACTGATTTACATTCAATCATTTCTGTTTTTACTTTAATTTCTAATCAGTTATCTTATGGCAATATCTAGCGTCTGGTTATTCCAGTTTACAAGATAATATTTATTGCGCATGCTCTCCAGATAAGAATATGACGTCAACGTTTGACATAACTTGTAGAATTTGCCTTGCCTCGTTTTTCGAGTCCCTTATTACAAATAGCACTGAAACGCATCATGGTACACGATTCATGTACCAATTGTAAAATGTTTTTTTTGTCTTAAATATTGGATATCAGAAGTCCATCTTTTCCCGGCAAGATCACAACAACAATGTTGATTTAAATTGACAAATAATTCGTGTTTTCAATGTCGAAGATTTTGGACGATACTGAGTTAGAGACTTAGCTACTTTAAAGGCAAATAAAATGGCCAGCTACTAATCACCTACAATAGTGCTATTTTATGGTCAAATGAAATGAAATGAAATAGGGTTTAACATCCTACTGTTTTGCTCCGAACTGGGTAATGAAGACGGGCATACGCCTCACAGTGTGCTATGAGGGAAATTTTGCCCAGACAGCAGCACTACTGCCTACTCTTATATCGAATTCCAACTGTCAAGGGATCTTTTACATGCACGCCAATGTGTACATGGAACCTCGTTTTTTTGTCTCATCCGAATGACAAGACAGCTGCCATGCTGCATCACTGACAAGGGGGAACCCCGTCGGAAAATCTGGATGAACTTTCTCGGCCAATGCAGGGATCGAACACCCGACCTCCAGGCTAGCAAGCCAGCGTCTTAACCACTTAGCCACCGCAATACCTATTTTATGGTCAATACAGACATGTTTCCTTGTTGGTAACTTTAAGCTAAACAAAAAACGCTCTTGTTGGAGATTAATAGGACTGTTTTTGTCAAAATTTCAATTATCCACAATCGTGTCAATTTATCATGAAATCAGTTAAATTTTGTATATAATTTGTAGAATGTGCATATATATACTTTGGCCTTTTTTGGGCGCTATTGACAAAAGAAACACTCTTGTCAGTTCTTGTCGAAGAGGAATAGGACTGACTAAAAGCAAACCTTTAACTACCATATTTGATACAATCTCCCCGTATTGTTTACAAGAATTAAAATTTTTATCTTATTTAATGAGTGACTATAAATATATTGTTTTTGACAAAGAGTGTTTTGTAATGGCCCAGATATTTGGTCATTATCTTATCTGTGGGCATTATATTTTGACATATTGAATGACCTAAGTACACAATAAAGTCATTGATTTATTCAAAAGAAATAACAATAGTCTAGTAAGGCCTATCCTTAGACACACTCTTTAAACATGTAATACTAATTTTTCTCTTAAAGGTGCAATGTTAAGTTTCAACAAGGAAATAAATGGTATTAATCATGGAAAATAACATTCAAAATAACCATGAAGTCATCTAACAATCAAACATAGGTTGCCAGGCAATGAAACAGCTAAGTCATCCAAACTGTTACACGCTATAATTAAAACTTATGGATGTTATTATCAACCATTGTTCAGAATGAATCTAGTTCTTCCTTTCAATAAAGTAGACAATCAATATAACATTTCAGAAAGATCAGGCCAAAATTCTGTGCTAACAAGATTTTGGAACAAAGGGGAATAACTCATTAGGCTTCTGCATTTCAATGCATTAGACAACCCTCATCAATTTTTAAAACACATATATAAGGATTATTTTAGTGTCTATAACAAGAAATGTAAATGACAGACCAAAGGACAGAGTTCTAGAGAGACTGGGTGATAGCAATATAAATGTCAACCTATAAAAACTAAGCATTTGACTACTTAGAGAAGGATATTTTGCATGAACATTCACTGTACTCCTCCAAAACCACAACAGACTATAATGTATACAATCTCTAATAAATCTAACAACTACTAATATCTCATAGATAAATCAGCAAATCAGTCTTAAATTTTGTACACAATCTAAATTGAACCCCCGGAGCACCTCATTTGAAGATCTCCACTTTTCTGCTTTGAAGGCAGTTTAGAGTGCAAATAGACCCACACAATGTTTAACACTTTGTGTATTTGTCATAGAAATACTCAAAATATTTTCTAATGAAAATTGGTATATAAACTCACCAATATTAATTACTAATTAGTTAATTACAGAGAAACATCATTAGAGTATATTAGAGTAAATCAATATAACCATTACTCTCTGTGTTATTCATATCAAGTTTAATGACCTTTGAGTGTACATAATAATACAAAGTTTATTTTTCTGCAAAATTAATAATATATCTATATTTATATCTTGTAAAGCGAATGATTTCTAGGCCCCAACCTAGGCATTTTCTCTAATAAATAAATATATTTTGCTGGGAAATAAAGCTTTTTATATATATATAAAAAAAAAAAGTTTAATGACTTTTCCAAAAAATTACTCTACGGTCAAATCAACAAGCACCAGCCGTATTGTGGACCAGGACAAGATGCGTTAGCCAATCAATGAGCAGATCGTACATTAAATGGCGGAACATTAGGCTTAGAAGAACAACAAAAAGATAAATAGCAATTTGGGCCTTTTTTCTAAGAGTGTCACACACAAGAACAAGCAGAAGATAAATAGCAGTTTGGGCCTTTTTACTAAGAGCATCACGCACAAGAACAACAAGAAGATAAAATAGCAGCTTGGGCCTTTTTTGTAAGAGTGTCACCGACAAGAACAAGATGAATCGCGGTTGAGGACTTTTTTCTAAAAGCGCCACCTACAAGAACAATAAGAAGAAGACAAATAGCATTTGGGGCCTTTTTCTAAGAGTGTCACCCAAAAGAACAAGAAGAAGATGAATAGCAGTTGGGGCCCAGTTCTTTGTCCAAAAATAAGTACACATTAAGGTTTGATTAGAAACAAAGATCTTTCCAAATTATTATTATTTTGGCAGATGCAGATCTTTTACACCCACATTGGAAGCCACAGTGGCTCAGTGACTATGGCACTGGCTCATCAACTCTGGTGACGAAGTAAGTTTCTCAGGGTTTTCAAGTCTGGTTTCCCCTTGTCAATGCTGCAAATGAAATGAAATGAAATGGAGTTTAATGTCCTACTGTTCTGCTCCTAACCTGGGCAAATGAAGACAGGCATACACCATACAGTGTGCTATGAGGGAAATTTCACCCAGGCAGCCGCGCTACGGCCTACTCTTATATCGAATTCCAACTGCCAAGGGATCTTTTACGTGCACGCCAATGTGTA